GGGGGCCCCTCCGGGCAGGCTTGGGGGGGTCTCCGGGCGGGCTGAGCCTTTCCTCCCTCCCTCTTTCTCCCCCCTCCAAAATAACCTCCCCTCGGCAGCCAACCGGAACCCTGAGCACCAGCGGTGGCCCCACCCGGTCCGGATGGTGACCAAGTGGGTGGATTATTCCAACAAGTACGGCTTCGGCTACCTGCTGTCCGATGGGTCGACGGGGGTGCTTCTGGCTGACGGGACCCACCTGGTTCTCTGCCCCTACCACCAGTAAGTGCCTGCCCTCCCTCCCACCTCCTCCCCCACCCCTCACAGAGGGTCCGGAAGGAGGAGAGGCTCACCCAAACCCTGGCCCCCCAATCCGTAGACTTCCCTTAAGAGGCTGGTGGTTGGGTGGGCCTGGGGAATGGGCTGCCCGGCATCCCTTGGGAGGGACGGCCGAGCCCCACTACCGAGAAGGCCCTGCGGGTGTGACACGGCCCTGGGGTCATTCCATGGGTGTCTCATCCCCCCCCAACCCAATCTCCAGGCGCGTCACTTACTGTGCAGAGGCCCCCCAGGTGGCCTCCTTCCCGCAGCGGGAGGTGCCGGCGTCCCTCAGCATCAAGATGGGCATCCTTGAGTTCTTCACACAGTACATGCAGCGGCGGCTGCTGGAGGTGAGAGGCGGCCTCGGTGGAGAAGGAGGGAGCGGGTGGGTGGCCGCGTGGGTGGCCCTTTTTTGGGGGCTGGGGGCAAGCAAGCAAGGGCACCTGGCAGTGCCCAAGGAAGGCAGGGGGAGGAGGGTTTGAAGTTGGCCCTCGAAGCTGGCCCTCTGGTGACCCTCTGGCTGCACCTCTCTGGGGGTGGGGAGAGTCTTTCCCCCCCCCCAGCTTGGACTCCAGGTCCTTCTCCTTCCCCGGCAGGGGGGCCTCCAGCCGACCAGCCCCGGGAGCTCTGGGGAGGAACTGACTCTCCGGCACTTCGCCAAATCTGACGAGGCTCTCCTGATGGTCTTTAGCGATGGAAGCCTGCAGGTAAAAGGGTCGGCTGCAGCTTGGCCTCAATATCCTGGGCAGGGGTGGGGGTCTGCTCTTCTCCCGCCCCTCCCGAAACCCCCCAGTCCCCTCCCTTCCTCTCCAGATCAAACCTTAAGGGTGGTCCCGTTTCCAGGCCGGGAGTGGGGGGTGCAGGGGGTGGCTAGCATTGACACCCCCCCATCCCTTGCCTTCCCCCCCCTCTGCCCGTTTCCAGGTCAACTTCTACCACGACCGCACCAAAGTCGCCCTCAGCCGCTGGGGCGGAGAGACTCTCCTGACGTTTGTGGACGGCCAGTGCCAGAGTGCCACCTCCCCCCTGGATGCCCTGGCGCGGGAAGGGTGGGCGCCCCCCCTGCGGGATCGGATGGTCTACACTCTGCACATGCTCCACTGCCTGTAGAGACACTCTTCCCCTCCCTACAAGAAGACGCCCTCCACCACCCTAGAGGATGCTGGGCAGACCCGATCCTGCTTGTGCTCTGAGCGGCTGAAAGAGACGGTGCTGAACCCGGGAGGTTTGGGGCTTGAAAGTGGCTGTGTGTGTGTGTGTGTGTGTGTGTGCACGCGTGTGTGTAGGAGAGGGAGGGGAAAGGAAGGCGGCAGGTAGGCAGGTGAAGGAGGGGTGGGAACGGCTGGATCGTCCCCACCTGATCTTTTCTGGCTACCAAGAAGGAGGTGCGGAAGACCCGACACAGGGCAAAGGGAGGAAAAGGCAGGCAGGTGGAGGGTGTGGGCTGGCACTGGTGCAAAAGGTGTGCAAGGCAGATGTTCCAGAAAGTAGTGAGAAAAGGCAGAAGAAAGGTGAAGCGGGCGGTGGGGGAGACAGACCAGAATCCTTGCAAGGAGAGGTCCGGCCAGAGGGGGTCCCTGGGTGCTGGGCTCAGGGGGTCTTGGGGTGTGAAGGCTGAGGAGGGTGGTTGAGGAGGGTGGGGGGAAAACAGATGGGTCT